GATGAAAATAACAGATAAAATATAAAGTTTTCTTAAGAAACATTTGATACCTATCTGGACATTACAAAGGTTTTGCATGTGAAATTTAATAATTTTTAATCTTAAAATGAAAATTACTTTGCATGTTGGATAGGCAACATGCAAAAAGAAAAAAAAAAGGCATGAGAAAAACATTGCTTTACAAACCTTTAAACTTAATAAAAAAAACTGATATTTTGCATATGAAAGTATTGTAATGTTCACTGATAATCTTCCAAATTTTTTTAACACACGCTTACTAATTTAAAAGTTACAGCATGAAAACTATAACAAGCACAAAATAGTTACAAGGTTGGTCCCAGGGGCCGAGCTCATGCTGAAATATTTTTAAGACAATGAACACTGTTGGTTAACACTTATGTTTAAACTACTGTGATCATTAATGAATAATGTTCATAGCCTAAAGAAGACTTTAGTTAGGGAGTTTAAAGCTTGGAATGAAAAAGCAAATTTACATAGTGAAAGACCCACAACTTTGTTTATTAAATATGAATACCTATGTAATAAGTATCAAACAACAAAATTACCATTTGCTCTGTGTGTCTTGTTGAAAAGATTCTTTTCAAATGCCTTCTGTTCTTTGACAGTGGGAAAAGTGTTGTCATAATACTGAAAAAAAATTACATTAAGAATTAAATTACAAATAGCTAATTAAAGCAAACTTATCACAAACATATTCTAAGCAGAATGTCGAACTTTCTATCAGCAACACAATAACCAGAATCTGATGGCATTTCTTTATGGAAGGGTTCAATGAAATATGATAGGTTCAAAGTATAAATAATGTTGCCAGAGGACTTAAAATGTCTGAATAAAAGTGTAACAACGGTAGCCCTCAAATTACAAACACAAGAAGTATCTATACTAACCATTCCTACTTTAAACTAATAGATTAGAGGGCAGGCAGCTATATAACAGTGTCCACTGCCAGTACTTGAGCTGTTCTCATCAAACAGTTTTTCAAAACTTTCAATCAGATGATACAGCATTATGGCCTAAGTCAGAGGTTGGCAACCTGCATCTCTTGGGCTATCTGATGTGTCCACTGAGGGAAATTGAACCTCTGATTTTTAGCATTGTAAATCCGAAGGCATACAGATGTCTCACCAGAGGACCTTTTTTTTAGGTTAAAAATGTTTAGATCTTAGCCAAAAACAAAAAAAAATGGATCATCATCTTTGAAGGGTTGCCAACCACTGGTCTAAGTATTGAGAAATGAGGGTATTAGCAAGTTGTAAACACAGAGGAAGCACTCTCTTCTATATCCACATAGAAAAAGCAAATGTTGATAGAGATGAGATGTTGTACATATCTATCTTTGAAGTCACCATCAACAGTAATGTAACCAACTTCCTTCAGCTAACTCATAAGGTTCTCAGAGGAGATATGGAAAACTTTCGAAAATGAAATATCTATCTCAGTTTAAGTTGGCAAAGCATATCTATAAAACAGCCCAGACAGGATGTAATAGCTTATCTGTGTTAAAACAATCTAAATAATGGATAAGAAAAGAATAAATTAGAGTGTAAAAAGTATTGTCATCTTCCCTCATTGCCCTATTTTTTCAAGGAAAAGTGCAATTCATAAAAATGGACAGATGTTCTCTAAAGCTATATTTACATTAAATCCTTTACATAACACGTCACATAAATGTTGGTAAGCAAAAGAAGATAAAGACCAAGAAGCAGGTCAAAAAAGATTTTCAGCGACACTAAAAAACCTTAACATTTTTGCTTGTAAATATACAAGTAGGGGTAATACAGGCTAAATATGGGAGAAGTTTGGGTGCAAAATCTTCAGCACTCAAATTCAAAAATTCATGCGATAACAAAGTTAGGCCAGAAATAAAAAAATAAAAAGTAAAATAACAATAAAAACAAAAATTTTTCCTTAGATTTTTTCTCTATATCAAGTCTTTTGGTATTTTGTCTTACCCCAAAACATATCTGTATTACCCTCTGGCGAGGCAGACAGATAGTAGAATAAATAGAAAACTCACTACTTGGAAAGTAAAATCTGTTTCTCTCACAAGGGAACTTATCATAGTGAAGTATGATTATTAACTGCATCAATGTCACAATAAAAACTAACAAGTGCACATAATAAAGAAGAGTGTAACAAGATGGACAAGAGGAAACTTAGGCTACAACAGCCACAAAGAGAATATAATTCATACTTGAAACCGTCGGTACTTGGGAAACTGAGGAAAAACAAGACAATTTTCCAAACAGAGAATATTAAAAAAAGAATAAGGTAAGAGGATCCATGAGTCACGATAAATTATGTACAAGCAAAGATTAGACTAACCCCGTTTCAAGCCATCACATCACAAAGCCAAAAGAACTGGTAATGGAGACCAGAAAGTAGAAAAGTTTGTGACTGAAAGTTATCACAAAAGCACTGACCATGGAACAAAACCAAACAAGTTACTAAAACTTGATGGTAGTAGAAACTCTTTTCTGTTTACAAAATCCTGTTTTTATGGAAAAGATGACTTGCATGAGATTCAAGAACATTGTATAAGCCAGTCTTAACTTTTCTTGCAAAATCCAAAATATATTAGTTTTAGTAAAAAAAAAAGAAATTCATTTTGAGAGAGAAGTTCATTGACATGTGTTAGACAAAGCTTTGTGGTTTCCAAATGAAGTATCCCAAATAAAACTATATAATACAAACATGTTTCCACTGTTATTACACTTAGCTAAGATAAATTCTGTTTTGTTAAAAGAAATAGCATTTTAGCTAAAAAAAAAAAAAACTGCATAAACTCAGCCACTTACTGATCCTGAAGATGATAGTTCTTAGCCCAAACAAAAATTTCAATGGTCAAATGTATGCATATGTAAAATATATAATAGTTTTTAAAATCAATAAAAGTAATTCAGCATGTGTAAAAAGAAAAACTCGTAAAAACTTGACAGAATTTACACAAGACTAGAACTAAAATAAGGCTTAACACAACAATTAAAAAGTTGGAGAAAACATTACATAAAAGTAATTATTAAGAATACTAGCAGAAATGCCACCCTATGGGCAGCTGTTTGTGATAGTAATTACTAATCGTAGTACTCATACCTCATTGAAAAAATTTAGAAAAAAGTGAGCAATTTCTAAAGAAAGGATTTTTCTCTGGGAAGTACTGTGTGGGAAAAGTGTTTGGATTGTGCTCTTTAGTTATACGCAACTCATTGCATCAAAATCATTCAATGTACAGAGCTCAAAATTTTCATAAATTTTACTGATATAAACTGTAATGTTTTTATATATTAAAAGTACTACCCTTTATTGAAAAAATATGTTTTTTAATAACTCCAGTTTCTCAGGACCACATTTAAAAATTACATCAATAAAGACATAATCAAACCCTCACATACAGTCTAGTGAAAATCGTGTTCTTGCTGTGAGTAATTTTATTTAAAATTGTGTTCTGTTATAAACAAATGGTTGTTGTACATACCACAGTTATTTTTCTAATTGTCTGAATCTTGAATACCCAAAGTGTGAAAATTTTTATGGATTTTTGTTTCTGGTGCCATTAAATAGATGGTGCAGGAGTTTTAGTTACATACATAGATACTGAAATACACTCTACATGCATTATAGTACGAAGATTTTAACAAAGGTATGGTATCTATAAAAACCAGAGATAAAATTGAAAAACTTATAAATTCATGAAGTCAATTCTCTACAAAAAACTGATTATGAATATTTCGTTATATAACAATACAAATAAAACTAAACTGTGCAAGTTACCATAATCTGTAATAAAATCATTCCTACCTTTGCTAAAATTCTATTTCCATCATTGTCTAAAATGGCAATGGCCTTCACAGTATACAGCGTTGGTTCCTTTTTAAAGGAGAAGGCAAATAAAATTAAACAGTTCTTAAAAATACTCATATTCACACCAATCATCTGTTGAGATCAGCTTTAAAATTTACTGAATATGAGCAGTTAGTTACATGAACATACTGTGGTATTTAAAACAGTATGTTACCAGTATAATGAACGTTCTACAAGAAAAAATTACAAGTATCCAATAAAACCCAATTTCTGTCCTAAAGCTTTAATTATTTGGACATATAAAACAACTAAAACTAAAATGCTTATGAATATATACAAAAAGGTTGAGTACATTATACTGAAACAATTTTGAAACTTCACTGTATTACATTTCATGTCATCACTTTTGTTCATGCTCTATCTGATGACTATGGATCTTGACAATAGCTTTACAGTGTAGTTTCCATGTCAAAAGACTCCAGTGTAATGCTGTAATGTCTAAAGCACACCACTCCTCCCTGCATGCTCTGCATAATACATTTACTGTATGAGGATGATGGCTTCCAAATGCCAATTTCAACAGTCTTATCACACATAAATCCACAAATCAGTGGTTCCCAACATTCTTTGTTTGAGGCCCAAAAGTAGCATTTATACACTCCTGAAAGGCCATCTGTCTATCAACTAAAAAAATCTGTTGAAGTATAGACCAATAAGAATTAAAAAATCATTACATGTTTAATGTAAATGTGCAAATTTAAAAAATTAAACAGTTAAAAAACAGTTACAAAATTGCAACTTTTGTCCAGTTCATACAATTCTACTCTAACCTGACTTCTGTGGCTTAAGACCAGTGGCTAATTTGTTGATATCTGACTGCAGGTTAATGGTTGCCAGTATCATTAAGCCACTAAAACTTGTGTCTGTAAGAGGAGCACAGTTTATATTTTTAAACATCATTGTAGAAAATGTTTGCTCACACCAGCTGGTATGAATAAAGTGGGAAACATAACACAGAGCAAAAGAATGCAAATATCTGATTTCAGTCACTAAAAGCACTTGCTAAAATGAAATCACATCAGCTGCAGTGGGAAGGGCTGGAAGTTTGGTAGATCAGCCCCTTCGGATACATGTAATTAATATTATGTTTTACTACATTTTTTCACTTCAGTTCAGCACTGCCTGCATCCCAAACACATTTTTATTGAAGGTTAGGAACCATTGCCAAAGACACTGCATCCCACAACTTGAAAAGTATGCCTTCAGATGGAATAGCATGAAACCCTATTTCATTCTATAATTGCTTGAGGTTTATGATGGTTGAACAGGTATGTTGTAAAGATAACTTGTGTCACTTTCTCTGATGGAGATTCTTCTTGATTGTGTTGCATATTGTTGCCTGGGGCATGTGAGCAGCCTTTGCCACTAACCTTTGTGTTCAAAGATTCTCACCTGCTACAAGATGTCATACTTTTCTTACCACAATTGATGTACGACTTGTTGCAGGTCTTTTTCTGGATGGTCCTGGCACTCCAAGTTTACCTAAGCTTTTAAGTACAAAGGATATCCTCATTTTGGAAATTCTGAATTCTTGATCTGAAAATATCTTTATGATCCAAGTGTATGGTGTTGAAAATGGCTGTTACATACCCTTCCAAAAAGCAATCAATTTAAGGTGGTATCACACTATCTACAAAATGCCAAACAAAGTAAAAATGTAGTTCCGATACATTTCTTCTATCACTTAATAAGAGCTATGGTTGTCATATATCTTGCTGATTTACATATTCAAAATAATTTTAATATAACATAGTTAAATCTCTCTTCTATGTATGATTATGGTTCAATAAATTGTAAGATGTAAACTCCATAATTAATTTAATCAAAGTAACATAACAGAAATTACATAACTTATAATGAATAGTGCATATAAACAAGTTATAAGAAGCCAAAGCCACACAGATGATCAAGTTACAGAGTGGACAGCCAGATGTAATTAATAAATTCAAACCTTCAGAACTAATAAAAAATGTGTGACGTATATTTTGACACATAAGTGATTACATTAATAAGCTCACTTACATACTAGTAAATACAACTAATAGTGTTATCAGTGTCAACTAAGCTAATGAAGTCATGCCATAACATACGACAAGATGTTATTTATAAATTACAACAGAGTGAAAGGTAGTACTAACAGTTACCTACACCCTAAACTTTATTAAATTAAAAAATTACAATAAATAGCTAATAAATGAATAAAAATGTTGTCTATACAAAATGTTTAGAAAGGCCTTGTCATTTTGTATAATTTTTTCATCACACAAGTTGTAGCAAGAAGCATGTTGAATTCACAACAGAACTGAAAAAGATATTGTGAAAAATAAGAGGATTTAAATCAAAGTCTTGCCTCAGAAATATTTTAATATAGAACAAATCCTACTATATTCAATAAAGTATGAGAAGAAAACACCAAAGCACAACTTGTTTGTTGTTTTGTGCAGGTTACAAAAAAACATTCCTTCAATGCCTCTGCAAGGTTTTTTTTTTGAGTCCACTGTATAATATCAAATATCAGGTGCAATACCACAATATTCCCACACCTCAATTAATTTAGGTTACTATATGGTGAGTTAAAAAGAACTCAAAAACCCCATAAATACTATATATATGATAGGCCTAACTGTAGTTCTTTGCAAAAGTTCTAGCCAAAACTTCATTCCACAGCAGAGGGTGTAGCCAATCAAGGAATAAATTAAACCTCTACATCACAGATTATATTTTCAACTTTACCTTTGGTGAAAAGAAAGCTGTATTATAATCATTCCTCTGATGAATTTACTCAGAACAAAAAATTTAAAAGATTGAACAAATCATTTCATTTTCAGAAGCCAATTGACCAGTCTAGCATTTATTACCCTACTCCAAACTATTAAATCTATAACCACAGTTAACAATAACAACTAATGTTTATATGTTTCATAAGTGAGATATACACTTTTTCTTTAATGTTACTTTGATTACCATTACTGGCTAAAATGTTTAATATATATATAGTTTTATTACTATACTTTTATTATAGAGATTGCTTTGCATTGTTAGCTCAGTAAAATGAATTTAGAACTAACTTAAATCTCCTAAGATGGCTGAACTTCATGATATATCACTAGATTTGTGGTACAAAATATTAACAGTGAAGGCATACACAACTGATGAAACAATGCATTTTAATTGTTAAAGGCAAGAACATAAGAAATATACATATAATTAACTATACTCATTACTAGGTTGATTTTTAGTTTTGATCTAAGTTGTTAGATTTCCCTCATTTAAAGTTAATGTTATATCTTCAAATCTTTATTCATGTTCCTCAAGCCCCCTTCCTGTGAAAATCATGTAAATAACACCTCCAAACCTGGAATCATTCTGGTATTTCTTCTATAAACCCTCTCAACAACTCAACATCCTTTCTTAAATACAGTAATCAAAACCCAAAACTGAACACAGTATACCAGTGTGTTCAGTTTTGGCCATCCTGCAGAAAAACCAATGAATTAATTTGATCTATGCTCAATACTTATATGTATAAAATCTAACATATAATTTGCCTTAATTCTAACTACCTTAAATTGTGTAAAAAAGCTTTAGAGATTCTGTAATTGTTATGCAAAAAACAACAACAACGTTTTGCCCTGACAATTAACAACAGTTAAATCAAAAGCAAGCAACTGCATGAATAATAATGAAGACCCCTTGATTTAATCTTTATTACTATTAAGTAATCTATGAAGTTCATTTCTAAAAAAAAAAGAACGTTCTAAACCTGTTACTGTAGATTCCAAGCTTCCAAAACGCAGAAGTTAGAACTAATACTATAAGAAGTCAAACTGAAACTTAAGCTTTAAAGTTTAATTACAACTTATATATTTACAGTTTTTACACACTGTAACACTAAAATTAAACCTAAATTACAATAATAATGACAGTTGGTTGATAATATTATCAAGACATTTATCAATAAGACTGATGTAAATGTAACTTATGAGTTTCTGGATGAAACTTTTAGTAAAAGTTTCACACTAACATATCAATACACACTAGCAATTGCACCGCCATGCTTGTTACAAATCATAATGCCAAGCAGAAATTTAATGTGCTAAACTTGGTACCGCTAAATTAAATTTTAATTTAAAACAAAAAAAAATAACTTTACACACTCAATAAGTTGTTATGTAATTTTACTTTTAGATATATGAGTTGCTTATTACGCTATAAACTAAATATTATCAATAAAAATCACAAACCAACAAATCCGTGTCCATCCTGTCACATCCCACGTCACAACAGTGCCGTCATGACGTACATTTCAATTCTTCAGAATATGAGGAATAAAAAATAAAATATGTAACATATTTCATAAGAAAATATCACAGTACAATTTATCTTGGTTTTAACATAATATTCATTACATTATAAATCGTATTTTTGTGAATCTTATTAGTTTTTCATCATTTTTTAGCATCAGAAGAAAATTAAGCTATTTCATGATAAAACGCGAATAATGTAGAATTTATGTCTTTTAGAAAAGCAAATACATCTTAGTAGAGTAAAATTTTGGAAGAAATCACACAATTTTCAGCATTAATAATTTCTTATTGACCCAAATCATCAAATGGCTTTGCACATTTAGCATTAAAATCCTTATTATAACGGTTTTTATACTATTGTTTATATACTTTATGTGTCCTATACATAGCTGACTTAATGCGCTATGGTATTAAGTGAAAGATTTCGTCGGCAGTTGCGTGCGGTCGAGAAGCTATTGTGTTTGTTCTTATTGGAAACTTCTAGTATAGTTTCCAAAAAAAAAAAAAAAAAAAGTAGTGAAATTATTATCACTCTTATTGTGTTATAATGTTACAAAAACTACCGATCAATATATCACGCTTCTTCGGCATAAGGTATTATATACCATAATAAGATAGATAAAATTGGTCTAATCCATCCTATAAAAATGACCCCAGTGGCAGGGAGGTATGCCTGCGGACTTACAACGCTAGAAATCGGGTTTCAATACCCATGGTGGGCAGAGCACAGACAGCCTGTTGTGTAGCTTTGTGCTTAATTACAAAGAAACAAACGAGAAACTATGCTACTTGCAATAAATTAATAACCGTCTTATCCGGTGTCTCTTATATCTAGAACAACATCGGTCACCCACAATGCCTATAATAAATTAAACTTTCACAAGATGTTGCAGTAAGTAACAAAATATTACTTTAGCCATACAACCTATAACCGTAGTTAAAGATCACACAAAGAAATATTAACATAGTTAAATCAATCTAACAATGGACCTATGGTAACTTGTAGTACTAAGAAGCAAAGCTTACCCAATATAAGTTTTAGTCTCCTGAGACAAAACCTCCACGGTATTATTCCAATAAACATAAATAAATCAATCTTCATCAAAACTTCTGGAGCTCTGCGAAACAATTATGAAATCTAGTAAGCCTACTTCTTTCGTTCTTATTGACGAAGAAAGTAAAAATCTGTTAACAGTTTAGTTGTTTTAATACCAGTAACAAACAACTCATAACACCAAATTTGTTATTTTTCTTTAAATGGAAAATCAACGTTTCGCTTTACAGCTTCTTCAGGAACGTTGTATTAAATAAAACACAAAGCGTAACTGACAGAAAAAAGTATCAAATGATAGATTCGTTTTGAGTTTACCTACTGATTATAAGTGTTATTTTATTGCAAGTAACAGCTTTTACAGTAAATGATATTTCAAAAACAAGTGCGACGTTTCGATCACTGGAGCGATCAATTTCAAGTACAGTACGTACAAGTTTTAAGGGTAAAGAAGGTTTTAGTACTGAAATCAACATTTAACAATGTAAATAAAAGTCCAAAAATGCAACTTTTGAATGGATTATTAAATTTTTTACGAAGTTTCGGCCACTCCTGTGGCCATCATCAGATAACTGTCTCTATTTTAAGAAATAGTGCGCGAGAATTTTGTTCAAATTTAGAAAACATGTGGGGTGACACCTATGTTTTGATTTAAATTAGGTTTTAGTTCACGAATAATTAATGCTTTTTTATTTTTCTTCTCTTAACGTTGTTCTCATTGCATAATATTTTAAAGTTGTTAATGTTAACTGGATGTTGATTTGTTGTGCTGTATTCGTAAATATGTGATGGGGGATTGATATGCTCTTTGATCCGAATGACTCGGCATGGCCAGGTGGTTGGGGCGCTTGATTCACAATCTGAGGGTCGCGGGTTCGAATCTCCGTCCCACCAAACATGCTCGCTCTTTCAGCCGTGGGGGGCGTTATAATGTGACGGTCAATCCCAATATTCGTTGGTAGAGAGTTGACGGTGGGTGGTGATGACTAGCTGCCTTCCCTCTAGTCTTTCACTGCTAAATGAGGGACGCCTAGCGCAGATAGCTCTTGTATAACGTCGCGCGAAATTCAAACAAACGATTGATCCCAATGCTTATATTGCGTCCAGTTTCGCCTATGTAAATGCTATCGCATCGATACGTGTAGATGCTTCCGTCATTGAAGTTGTCAGAATAAACCTTCTGTAGATGACCTTTGATTTTAGTGTTCGGTTTTTGAATAAAAGTAACTTTTCTGTTTATTTTGTGTTTTTTTTCTATACTTGTTACCAAATGTTGATGCTTTTGGTTACATAGGTATGAAATGGTAAGACACCTATTAGTGTGACTGAGTTTGTGCATTTTGTTTCCTTCATGGAGTTTATGTTGTTTTCCCTTTCTTTTTTCTGTTATTGAGTTTATTTTTATACTTGGCTAAGGTTCTAGTGACAATGTGTTTAGGGAAGTGACATTTGTTAATAGATGTTTCAGATATTGATTCTAGTTGATCCTGCAACTTACTGCTACTACATATGTTAAATGCATGATAACGTGCCAATTTTTTGTTGAGTGCGCTTAGTCCCACTTTATATAGTTGTTATCATTACCAGATTTGTGGAAGACCTTCGTGTTAAAACTGTTGGAATTTCTTTCCACTGTTACGTTCATGTAATTTAAAACCTGGTTTTCATTCTCCTCTTCATGAGTAATTTGATGTCAGTGTTGTAGAAATGACTGTTGGCGTATCTAAACCAGTGTGTGCGTGGGAGGGTGTAGAACTGTGTTATTGGTCTGACTTTCTATTTAGTTGATAAACAATTCTTATAATCCAGATGACTGCCCATGCTTGGGCCATCTATTTGTTCACAAGTTTTGTCTTGACAGGTGAAACACATTTTTAGTGCAAATTGGACCAAGTCTTTCAAAATTTCAAAGCTCAGATTGTAACACAATTTGTCTGAATTTTTATATCATTTCTAGAGCTAGGTTTGTTGTTTCATCTTTCGGTATCATTGTATACATGGAGATTACGTCAGAACTGTACATTTTGTTATGATTGTTGAAGTTTTTGAGAATGCTTCACAATTCGAGGCCCCCCTGTGGCACAGCGGTATGTCTGCGGACTTACAACGATAGAAACCGGGTTTCAGTACTCGTGTTGGGAAGAGCACAGGTAGCCTCTTGTGTAGTTTTGTGCTTAACTACAAACAAACACAATTCTAGAACACCTTTAACCTTGTATTCATTGCTGTCATGCAATGGTTTAATCAGAAAATCTAGGAATCGTGCAAACTTATGGTTATAGCTGGGAAGGATGTCAATTGTTGTATACGTCTTCTGTGATGTCGTTGTTCTCTCTTAACTTTAAAAGTAGGCTATTCAATTGTCTTCCATAACATTCGTTAAGGATTTTGGACAGTTTTTTTAATTTAGTTAATCATTTAGTTGTTTTTTTTAAAATATGTTGTTGTAATCTTATGTTTCCATAATTACAGTTTTACCCCCTTTGTCATCCTTTATTGCGATAATGTGTGAATTATTCCGCAATTCTTTAAGGGCTGATACTTGGCGTTTCGTGACGTTTTAATTTTATGGTTTTTAAGGAGATATCCTCCAATTCTACACGATATTTCACAGATGAAATTGTTATTCGGTATTTTAGAAAACCAGTCTGTTATTCTTGCCTTGTTTATCTTTATTTCTTTGATGTCGATAGATGGGGCGCTCTTGTTTGTTGTTTTAGTTCTTAGTTTTTCTTTGATTGTTTGTTACGGGTTTCGCGCAAAGCTACACGAGGGCTATCTGCGCTAGCCGTCCCTAATTTACCAGTGTAAGACTAGAGGGAAGGCAGCTAGTCATCACCACCCACCGCCAACTCTTTTACCAACGAATAGTAGGATTGACCGTCACATTATAACGCCCCCACGGCTGAAAGGGCGAGCATGTTTGGTGTGACGGGGATTCTAACCCGCGACCCACAGATTGCGAGTTGAGCGCCATAACCACCTGACCTTTTTCTTTGATTGTTTGGTGGACCAATTTTCTAGCTAAACTTCTATTCCGGCTTTTATCTCTAAGGTAGTAAGGTTTTTCTGTGTTATTGCATAATTTAGGTTTAAGAGAAGATAAAAGCTACATATTTTCTTGTACTGTATTCTGAAAACAACAGGACAATAGGGTACAGGTCATAGGTTTGGAAGAAAAAAAAAAGAGAGTCCCGGCTCTAGTTAAGCTGTATTTTTCTAATGGGGTGATTGGATTACGAATAAACTTCTGTCACCAGTAGTTGAGGCCAGCACTTTACAGGAGTTAAAGAGAACTGATAATTTCCTGAAAAATAACGGGTAGGTTTAAATGTTTACTTTTCTCAAGGGTTGGTGTGAAGGGGTAGCCTTAAAGGTCCTTTGTTGTCCATATATTTAGGACCAATTAGAGGGAGGGTCAGGAGATCTATTTAGCCTGGGCCTCAATCTCAAATTTACACACATTTTTTTTTTTCGTTTAAGTTTTACTTGTTTATATGCACAGAAAATGACTAGAAAAGCATATTGTTACGTCTCCGTTTGTTAATTAACTTTCCGTAACTTCGTTCCGACGAAACTTTAGCGACACAAGTCCTTACTTAATAAAACTGGTTTATTCTTCCTGAATATAACTTCACGATACACTTATTTTCAACAGTCGCTCTATAACAAACGCTATAACAACGAACTTCAACCTCTGACTGCAGTTCAATTACTCACTACCTCCACACACAATGATCCTGTCACGTTGTGACCATCTTATATATACCAGGCTACCCTATATCTAGTAATCTCCCGACAATTCACGAAGGTACAAGATATTTCCAGAAAGCAGGGGGGCGTGACACTAGTCACGTGGCCTCGCTGACGCAACAACATGTTAAATAATGTTAATAAATTTAAATAAAAAAATATTAAAATTACATTTCACTTTTCTTTTGGACTAATGAAT